CGGAGCCTAAAATGGAGACCTGGGAAGGTAAAAAGCGGGTGTGGGGGGGGGCTGGGGTCTCCTCTTGCAGAGAGTTTGAGGAGGGGGCTGCACCGGTTGCCCGAGAAGTGCTTCTCTATTGTTTGTCGGCTTCCCAGATGGCCTTTAAGAGAGGGGTGGGTATTTTGGGGGGGGGGCTCCTTTGTGAATGTTTTCTCTGCCCCCCCCCCAACCGCCCTCTTTGACAGTTTGGGAAAAAGTTGCTTTCCGATCAGTTTGTTGTTGTTGTTTACGTGTGTCTTGTTTCTCTGGCTACCAGGGATAACTTTGTGGGGGGGGGTGTGTCTCCCCTTCGGGGTCCCGTGGCTGTCCACCCAAACCCCTCCGGCCAAACAGGGAACCCCATCCTCAGATATTGGGGGTCCCCCAATTGTCCCAGAAAGTGCTGGGCTCGGAAAAGCGTGAAACAAATGCCAGGGAGAAGGAGGAGTGTGTGTGTGTGTGTGTGTGTGTGTGTGTGTGATGTTAATTGCTTTTGTTTGTGCCTGGACCCCGCTGGAAGTTTCCGGCTGCCTCTGAGCTTCTTCAGGCCCCCCTCTCCCCTCCCTGCTTTTGCTTTCTTCTCTCCCCCCCCCCTTACAAAGGACACAACCAGCCCCCCCCCCATTTCTTCCCTTTTTCTCTCCCTGGGCCTTCAGTCCTGCTGGAAACAAGAAAAGGTGGGCAGGGCAGAGCCGAGCAGGAGGGCCCCCAAATGGGCCCCAAATGAGGGTTTGCGGCTTCGCCCCCCCTCTACCCCCAGAGCCCCCCCCCTCCGAGATCAAAGCCAGCCAAACTCTTCCCAGCCAGAAAGAGAGAGAGAATTGAAGGAGGGACAAAAGTGTGAAGTTGCCCAAGGAGGTGTGTGGTTACGGTCCAGCTACCCAGGCTGAGCCATGGGGTGGCAAACTGCCACCTTTGGGGGTGGGGGGGGCAAGCAGCAGAGGTTCTCTCTCCCCCCCCTCCCCGTGGGACAATGCATGGCAACTCACCCCCACCCCAGAAACCTCTGCAAAGGGGCTGCCTGTCCCATCAGCAGCTCACTTGCCACCCTAGAGCCCAAGGGGCAGCCACCATCGGCTTGAGATTGGTGGTTCTGGCTGGCCCAGTCCCTGGGGAGGCCTCGGTTTTGGGCAGAGGGGCTTAATGCTCCCTGGGCGTTCCCCCCTTGGCTGGGGGGGGGGCTGGCCCCGGAACTGTGTGTGTGTAAGAGAGAGAGAGAGAATGAGAGAGAGAAAAAGAAAGAGAAAGAAAGAATGAGAGAGAGAGAGAATGAGGGAGGGAGAGAGAAAGAATGAGGGAGACAGAATGAGAGAGAAAAAGAGAGAAAGAAAAAAAAGGGAGAGGGAGGGGGAGAGAATGAGAGAGAAAAAGAAAGAGAAAGACTGAGGGAGAGAGCGAGAAAGAACGAGGGGGAGAGAGGGAGGGAGAGAATGAGAGAAAAAAGAAAGAGAAAGAAAGAACGAGGGAGAATGAGAGAAAGAATGAGGGAGAGAGAATGAGGGAGGGAGGGAAAGAAAGAATGAGAGAGGGAGAGAGAAAAAGAAAGAGAAAGAAAGAATGAGGGAGAGAGAGAAAGGGAGGGAGAAAGAATGAGAGGGAAAAAAGAAAGAAAGAAAGAATGAGGGAGAGGGGGAGAGAGAGGGAGAGAAAGAAAGAACAAGGGAGAGAGAGAATGAGAGAGAGAGAAGCAATTCTCAGGGGAAGGAAGCACATGGCGCTCTTGACTTTAATTAACCAAGCTGAGCTGATCCTCTTTGCTTGGTAATCTTGGTGTTTTTAAACAATAATAAAAAGTTTGCAAAGCAATTGACTTAAAGAGGCTTGTTGGTAAGGGTCCCTCCCCTCCCCTTTCTTCCTACCTCTCATTCCTGTCTCCTCCCTCCTCTTTCCCTTTCCTTCTTCCCTCTCCTTCCTTCCTTCCTTCCTTCCTTCCTTCCTTCCTTCCTTCCTTCCTTCCTTCCTTTCTTTCTCCCTCCCTCCCTTCCTCTCCCTTTCTTCTTTCCTTCTTTCTTTCCTTTCCTTCCTTCCTCTCTCCCTTCCTTCTCTTCCTTCCCTTCTTTCCTTCCTTCCTTCCTTCCTTCCTTCCCTCCATCCCTCCCTTCCTCTCCCTTTCTTCTTTCCTTCTTTCTTTCCTTTCCTTCCTTCCTCTCTCCCTTCCTTCTCTTCCTTCCCTTCCTTCCTTCCTTCCTTCCTTCCTTCCTTCCTTCCTTCCTTCCTTCCTTCCTTCTTTCCTCTCCCTCCCACGCTAGGAAGCTCTGGGTGGGTGGGTGGCTTCCCACTTTCCAAATGGGGGGGGGCCTTTCTCCCAAACAATGCCTCCGTTTGTTGGCCCCTCTTTTGAGTCTTGAAGCAAGCTTCGACATTGCTCTGGTTTGTGCAGTCACTGGAGCAAAGCTTTTGAAATTCATCCGCTGCCTTTGCGCCTTCTCCAGCTGGAGGGTTTTGGCCAGGGGCATCTGCCTGGCCACAGCCCCCCCCCTTCCTCCTCCTCCTCCTCCTCCAGCATGGTCCTTTGCCCCCCTCCTCCTTCCTCTCCCCAACCAGGATTGGTGGCTTGGATGGGGAGAGGGCTGAAAAACTCAAAAACCCGCCCAGGGAGCCCTATTAATTCTCTTTCCTCTGCTCATCAGATAACCCAAAGCCAAGATAATGCCCGGGTGCCTGTAAAATCCGTAGAGTATCTCAGCTTGAGATGTGGACCCTCCTGATCTAAAGTTCCTCCCCCCCCCCACTTATGCCATCACAACAGACCCTTTGGCTGTAAATGCCTGTTTGTTGTGGGCTCCTTCACACCCCTCCCCAAACAGACCTCTCTGCCAGCCCTTTGGCTGAGTGAAAAACTCAATTTTAACCACATTTGCAGAGTGCGGTGGGGCCAAATCTCTTCCTGTTTCCTCTGTCCCAAATGGGTTCCATTTCAGTGGCAATGAAAATAGCCATTGGGAATTGGGTTGGGGGGGCACGTAGGATAAACCCAGGCCCTTTGATAGGACGTTGGAGGGGTCCTAGCCGGCCCCAGTGGGCTGGCAAATCCTTGCCAGCTTCCCACCTGAAGCCGGATCAGCCAAGGATCCGGGGAAAAATGTGGGCCAGGCCTTGGCACGTCAAGTTGCTTGCTGGGGGCACCGTTCCGGCTTTTGACATCTCTGTTTCAAGCCATGATTAGCGGATGCCTGCGGGGGGGGGGGCTGGCAGAGCCCTCTTTGGCCTCATTCTGTCCAAGCCAGGATGGGAAACCTTGGTTTAGTGGAAGGTGACAGCTCTGCTGCTGGGAAGGACGGGGTGCTTGGAACTCTCTGCCTGTTCCCCCCCTCCCTCAAAGCTATCTTATTAAGTTGGAGTTCATGGGGGCCACTTTTTCTTCACCACCTGGCCCAGTTGAGGTTCTGCCGTTGCTGAAAGTCTGGGAGGCAGGAGACAAGTGGCCGGAGTCAACATTCACACCCACCAGAGTTCACACTTTGGGGTGAAGCTCTTGCATCCAGCTGTTTTGCTTCTCTCTTGTCTTGCTTTGCCAGCCCTCTCCATCTCACCCCTCCCTCTGAACCTTCAGGGGTCCCCCCCCCCAGTTGCAGTAATTGGGGAGGTCTAGTTTAACGAAAAGAAGGACTGGAGGTTCTAATTTTTGAGGGGCTATCACAGAGAAGGGGGGGGTCAACCTATCCTCCAAGGCAGCAGAAGGCCGGACAAGAAGCAACGGATGGAAACTGATCAAGGAGAGAAGCAACCTGGAATTAAGGAGAAACTTCCTGACAGTGAGGACAATGAATCACTGGGACGGCTTGTCTCCAGATATTGTGGGTGCTCCATTATTGGAGGTTTTATAAGAAGAGACTGGACAGCCACTTGTCTGAGATTGCATAGGGTCTCCTGCTTGAGCGGGGGGCTGGACTAGAAGACCTCCAAGGTGCCCTTCCAGCCCTATGATTCTAAGCAGTGTTTCCTCACGTGTGAGTGCTCCATCGCTGGAGGTTTTAAGAAGAGATTGGAGAACCATTTGTCTGAAATGGTATAGGTCTTCCTGGCTGAGCAGGGGGTTGGGCTAGAAGACCTCCAGGATCCCTTCCATCTCTGTTATTCTGGACCCAAGAACTCTTTTAAAAGGGCCGTGCTTTGAGTCCCACCAGGTCTGCTTGTCAAGAGGTGTCCTTCCCCATTGCTGGTTGGCTACTTTCTTGAGCAGGGGGCTGGACTAGAAGACCTCCAAGGTCCCTTCCAACTTCGCTTCTATTCTATTCCATTCCATTCTATTCTGTATTTCTATTCTATTCCTTATTTCTTTTCTGTTATAGTCTAGTCTGTTCTACAGTCTATTCCATTCTATTATCTATTCTATTTATCCTATCCTATCCTAAATTCTATTCTGAATCCTATCCTATTCTAATTTAATTCTATTCTTATTCTATTCTATTCTATTCTGTATTTTACTCTGTATTTCTATGCTATTCTATTCCTTATTTCTTTTCTGTTCTAGTCTAGTCTATTCTATTTTATTATATTATCTATTCTATTATCTATCCTATCCTAGCCTATCCTAAATTCTATTCTGAATCCTATTCTATTCTATTCTATTCTATTCTATTCCATTCCATTCCATTCTATTCTGTATTTCTACTCTGTATTTCTATTCTATTCCTTATTTCTTTTCTGTTCTAGTCTAGTCTATTCTATTTTATTATATTATCTATTCTATTATCTATCCTAGCCTAGCCTATCCTAAATTCTATTCTGAATCCTATTCTATTCTATTCTATTCTATTCTATATTTTACTCTGTATTTCTATTCTGTTCCTTATTTCTTTTCTGGTCTAGTCTATTCTACAATCTATTCTGTTCTATTATCTATTCTATTATCTATCCTATCATATCCTAAATTCTATCCTGAATCCTATTCTATTCTATTCTGAATTCTATTCTGAATTGTATCCTATCCTATCCTATCCCGTTCTCACGTGGTCACCCTTGGCTTCCTCCCGCAGATGACCGGGTGGACCAGCGTACCTGTCTGATCTGCGGGGACCGGGCCACGGGCCTGCACTACGGCATCATCTCCTGCGAGGGCTGCAAAGGCTTCTTCAAGCGCAGCATCTGCAACCGACGGGTCTACCGATGCAGCCGTGACAAGAACTGCGTCATGTCGCGCAAGCAGCGCAACCGCTGCCAGTACTGCCGACTCCTCAAGTGCCTCCAGATGGGGATGAACCGGAAAGGTGCCGATCAGGCAGGCAGGAAGGCCCCGGGGCGGGGGTGGGTGGGGGAGTTGGGTGGGTCTCCTTGCTCCCTCACTGAACCCAGCCACAGCCTCAAGGGGGGGGGGAACATGGTAGCAGCCTTCCAGCACAGGTGAGTCCTCGACTTACGAAATTCATTTAGTGGCCGTTCAAAGTTACAACGGCGGCACTGGATAAAAACTTTGGCCGTTTCTCCCAGTTTTTGCAGGGTCCCGTGATCAAAATTCCCAGGCTTCGTATTTATGACCGTTGCCGTGTCCCGAGGTCACGGGAGCACTTTTTGGGACCGTCTTGATAAGCAAAGTCAAGGGGCGGGGGAGCCAGTTTCACTTAACAACCAGGTTGCTAACTTACCAGCTGCAGCGATTCGCTTAAGAACCGAGGCGAGAAAAGTCGTAAAAAAAGGGGCAAAACTCACTCAGCCAACGTCTCACTTAAGGACAGAAATGTTGGGCTCCGATTGTGTGGTCATAAGTCAAGGGCTGCCTGTGTTTGAGGGGGCTGCCACAAAGAAGAGGGTGGGGTCCACTCCTTCCCCCAAGCACCCAGAAGGCAGGACAAGAAATAACGGATGGAAACTGACCAAGGAGAGAAGCAATTTTGGAATTAAGGAGAAACTTCCTAACAGTGAGGACAATTAACCAGTGGAACAGCTTGCCACCAGAAGTTGTGGGTGCTCCATCTAAGAAGAGACTGGACAGTCGCTTGTCTGAGATGGTATAGGGTTTCCTGCTTGAGCAGGGGGCTGGACTAGAAGACCTCCAAGGCCCCTTCCAGCTCTATTCTGATAGAGGTTAACCCTTGCAGAGTCAAGTCCTAGATTAGCTTGTCCGCTTGAAGACCACCGAGGAAGACGTAAGGAGATTGACTCACCTAGAACAGAAGCTGGTGGTGAACCTCCTTAGCTGGACTGGCCTCCCTTTCTGTTTGGGGGATATTTCGCTGCTGGTAGAAGGTCCGAGAAGGGGGGAAACTGTGCTGGGAGAAGGTCAGGCAAGGATCCCAAAGGTGATTTTCCAAAAAAAGGAACTGGACTTTCTCGAAAATGTTTTTTTTTTTTCTTCTCATCTGCGAAAAGCCGGAACTGAAGAAGCTTCTTGGAATGAGAAACGTATTTTTTTGGGGCGGGGAGAACCAAGAAAGTCCAGTTGCCTTTTGGAAAAGCACTCTTGGGACCCCTACCATGACCTGGGTGATTGAGAATCTCCATAGGTATTAGATAAAGGTAGAAACTCAGCCCGAAGGGAGGTCTTGTGGATAGGTCAGTCGTCAAAGCTGAGAGGGGAATCCGCCCCGAAAGATCAATTTGGCTTGGGTTGATCTGTGTGTTGGTCTTGAGTAGTAGGAAAGAGAGACAGACAGAGAAAGAGAAAGAGAGGAAAGAGACAAATAGAAAGAGAGGAAAGAGACACGGAAAGAGGAAAGAGATGGAGGAAAGAGACAAAAAACTAGAGGAAAGAGGAAAGAGACACAGAAAGAGGAAAGAGACAAATAGAAAGAGGAAAGAGATGGAGGAAAGAGACAAAAAAATAGAGGAAAGAGAAGAGAGATGGAAAGAGAGGAAAGAGATAAAGAGAGGAAAGAAAGAGATAAGGAGGCAAGACAGAAAGAGGGAAGAGAGACAGAAAAGAGGAAAGAGATAGAGGAAAGAGACAGAAAGAGGAAAGAGACAGGAAAAAGATGGAAAGAGGAAAGAGAAAGATGGAAAAAGACAGAAAAGGGGAAAAAAGACAGGAAAGAGGAAAGATAAAGAGGGAAGACAGAAAAGACAGGAAAGATGGAAAGAGGAAAGAGACAGAGAAAGACACAGGAAAGAGACAGAAAGAAATGGAAAGAGAGGAAAGAGAGACAGAAAGAGGGGTGGATCATAGTTGACCCCTATCTAAGCAACCTTCCCATTATCCTAGGATGGTGGAAGCTATGTGACTTTAGAGAAGCGTCAGAAGCTGCTGTCCAGGTTCTCGGCTGGGGCTTCAGACCACAGCTGCTCCTTTAAGAAATGGGCCATTTCTTTCTCTGCCTCTGCTTGGCCCTTGGATGCCAGCTAGACCCCCACTCCACCCCCCCAAAAGCAGGAAACAAGACGTTTTTTTGGGGGGGGGGACAGCTGGTCTGGGGTGTGGCCACCAGAGGGAGCCCGGAGTTCTTCGCTCAGCAGTGGCCAGGGATGCAACACACAACTGGAGTCTCTGTTTTGCAGCTGCAGACTTGCTTAAAGAAACAAACAAAAGTCAGCCTTGCTTCCCCCCCCCCCTCCCCACCAACTCCCCCAAGGGAGAGCCCCCCCCCGTTTTTTCCCCTGGCCGGCGAGGCTTTTGGGAAGGCAGTTGTCCTGGACAAGAAAGTTGTACAGATCCGTCTCTCTGCTCTTTCTTCCCGTCCACACCTGGCCTGACTTAAAAGACTATTTGTTTAGGGCTGGGCTTAACTGTTCTAACTCCAGGATCACCTGTAATGGGGACGAGGCCACCCTGGTCTGGTCATAAGACAGCTACAGTCAAGGGGAGGTGGTCTCCAGGCCTTTATCACTCAGCAAAAGACTCTCCCAATCGGAGCTCCCCAACCTTTCGGGCACCAGGGATCACCGGTTCCATGGAGAGCGGTTTTTCCTGCGGACCGGAGGGCGCGCGTGGGTTTTGTGTGCTGCTTGCAATCTGTGGATGGGGCTTTGCTTGTTTGTGTGGACCGGTTACCGGTCCACGGCCCGGGGGTTGGGGACCTCTGCTCTAAATATAAGAGCACGTAGGGCAGTGGTTCTCAACCTTTTTAATGCCACGACCCTCAACCGGTCGTAAGTCGAGGACTACTCAACCGGTCGTAAATCGAGGACTACTCAACTGGTGCAGCTCCGTTTGCAGAATAGGACTTTTGGCGGGCTCAGCAGGGCAGGGACAGCCTGGACCATTCCTATTGGCTTTTGAAAGCCAATAGAATTAGACTCTATTCAAGAGAGTCTATTCTGTTGGCTTTCAAAAGCCAATAGAATAAAAGAGAGTAGCACAGCTAAGGGGAAAAAAATGGCGGACTGCGTTGTTTGGCGACCCCCGTGAAATGGTCGTTCGACCCCAAATGGGGTCCCGACCCACAGGTGGAGAACCACTGACGTAGGGGGAAAAGGACAGGTACATCTGCTTAGCCTCTACACAGGAGGCCCGTGGGTGGTTAGATGGACACCTTGCTGGAGTCCTAACCACCTTCCTTTCCTTTCCTTGCCAGCCATCCGCGAAGATGGCATGCCAGGGGGCCGGAACAAGAGCATTGGACCTGTCCAGGTGAGTGCCTTGCAAGGTGTGGTTTTGCCGCTGCCTCCAACGTCCCACCTGTCGTCCCCCGCTCCCCTCCCCGGAGGGCGGGTTTCGCCTCTCTTCCGCTGGTTGAACAAGCCGTAAACCCAGATCCGAGCGATCCATTTTTTTCACCCTCCTCTCCCCGGCTGGTTTTCTTCTCTGCGGGGCAGATCTCCGAGGAGGAGATCGAGCGGATCATGTCCGGTCAGGAATTCGAAGGGGAGGCTAACATCTCCTGGTGCAACAACGGAGACAGCGACAACAGCTCTCCGGGCAACGGGGTGTCGGAAAGCAATCAGCCTTCTCCCGTCTCGACGCCCTCTTCCAGGTGGGACTCCGGGGAGGCCAGGCAAAAGGATTGGGGGGCACGGAGATTGGGGAGGGGGGGGCGCGTTGGGATGGGTCAGGGGTCTCTTCCCCTCCCTTCTCTCTCAGCCCTGCTTTGCCTCTTCCAGTAGGTCGGTGGAGATGAACGGGTTTACAGTTCTCAGGGATCAGTACATGGGCACGCCGGTGTCCGCCCCTTATCAGTACCTGCCGCACCTTCTCAGCTGCCCGACTCACACCGCCCTGCTGCCCCCCCAGCCCCGCACCCTTGACCCCCAGGCCCACGGGCTGCTCATCAGCCAGCTGGTGTCCGCAGAAGACCTGGATCCCCTGGGCACCCCGATGCTGATTGAAGACGGGTGAGTGCTGTGCTCTTCTCCTCCTCCTCTTGGCAGTGAGGACAATTAACCGGTGGAACAACCTGCCTCCAGAAGTTGTGGATGGTCCCAGGCTGGAGGTTTTTAAGAAGAGACTGGACGACCATTGGTCTGAAATGGGATAGGTTCGGCTGATTCAGCAGGGGGCTGGACTAGAAGACCTCCAAGGTCCCTTCCAATTGTGTTATTCTATTCCATTCCATTCCATTATATTATTATATTAAATTATATTATTATATTATAGTAATTATATTATATTATATTATTTCTTATTCTATTCTGTTCTATTTCTCATTCTATTCTATTTTTTTTATTCTATTCTATTCTATTCCATTCCATTCCATTCTATTCTTATTCCATTCTATTCTATTCTGGCTGAGGAATTCTGGGAGTTGAAGTCCACAAGTCATAAAAGGGCCACATTTGAAGATCCCTGTCCTATACATATATTGAATATAGTGTGTTTTAAATGTGTGTTATGTATGGGTACACTCTGAGAGCAAGCAATTTCATTTTTAATGGGTGCCATTGTGCCCACAGGGAAAAAAAATGACAATAAAGGTTATCTAATCTGATCTAATCTAATCTAAATTGCCCAGAAACGGTCACAAATTTAGTGGAGATCTACTAGGACAAGGGTAGGCAACCTTGGCTCTTTTATGACACGTGGACTTCAACCAACTCCCAGAATTCCTGAGCCAGCCATGCTGAGGGGAAAGGAGAAGTTTCCAAGCTGAGTCGTGCTGGCTCAGGAATTCTGGGAGTTGAAGTCCCCAAGTCATGAAGGGGCCATAGTTCCCCCATGCTGGCTCAGGAATTCTGGGAATTGAAGTCCACAAGTCCTAAAGGGGGCCAAAGTTTCCCTCATGCTGGCTCAGGAATTCTGGGAGTTGAAGTCCACGCGTCATAAAAGAGCCAAGGTTGCCTATCCTTATACTAGGAGAATCTGGAGCCGGAAGATCCCCTTTTTGCTGTCCCAGGCCAACCTCTCGGCTGTCCCCGGCTCCCCCAGGTACCGAGTGACCCAGGCCGAGCTGTTCGCCCTGCTGTGTCGTCTGGCGGATGAGCTGCTCTTCCGGCAGATCTCCTGGATCAAGAAGCTGCCCTTCTTCTGCGAGCTGTCCATCAAGGACTACACCTGCCTGCTCAGCTCCACCTGGCAGGAGCTGATCCTGCTCTCCTCCCTCACCGTCTACAGCAGGCAGATCTTCGGGGACCTGGCGGATGTCACCGCCCAGTATTCGCCCTCCGATGATGAGCTTCACAGGTAAAGGCTGGGGAGGGGTCCTGGGTGCTCTCCGAGCGTGGTGGGTTTGGTTGGAAGACGTTTCATCACCCAAGCAGGTAACGTCATCAGTGCTGGGAGGGAGGGAGGAGGAGGAGGAGGAGGAGGAACTGGGTCTTTGGTTGGAGAAGGCCAATTAATAAGGGAAAGGAAGGGAATGGAATGGAATAGGGAAAGGAAAGGAAAAGGAAAGGGGAAGGAAGGGAATATGGAATAGAATAGAATAGACAAAGAATAGAATAGAATAGAATAGAATAGAATAGAATAGAATAGAATAGAAATAAGGAATAAGGAATAAGGAATGGAATAGAATAAAATAGGAATAAGGAATAGAATAGAATATGGAATGGAATGGAATAGAATAGAATAGAATAGGAATAAGGAATAGAATAGAAAAGGAACAGAATAGAATAGAATGGAATAGAATAGAATAGAACAGAATAGAATAGAATAGAAATTAGGAATAAGGAATAGAATAGAATAGAATATGGAATAGAATAGAATAGGAATAAGGAATAGAATAGAAATTAGGAATAAGGAATAGAATAGAATAGAAAAGGAATAAGGAATAGAAATAAGGAATAGAATAGAATAGAAATAAGGAATAAGGAATAGAAATAAGGAGTAGAATAGAAATTAGGAATAAGGAATAGAATAGAATAGAAAAGGAATAAGGAATAGAAATAAGGAATAGAATAGAAAAGGAATAAGGAATAGAATAGAAATAAGGAATAGAATAGAAATAAGGAATAAGGAATAGAATAGAATAACGAAGTTTGAAGGGACCTTGGAGGTCATCTAGTCCAACCCCCCTTGCCCAAGCAGGAGACCCGCCACCATTTCTGACAGATGGCGGTCCAGTCTCTTCTTGGAAGCCTCCAGTGACGAAGCTCCCACAACTTCTGAAGGCAACTCCTGTTCCGTCGGTTGATGGTTCTCACTGTCAGAAAGTTTCTCCTTATTTCTAGCTTCAATCTCTCTTTGATCAGTTTCCATCTGTTATTCCTTGTCTGACCTTCAAGTGCTTTGGAGAATAGGTGGACCCCCTCCTCTCTGTGACAGCCCCCCAAATTTTTGAAGACTGCTATCATGTCTCCCCTGGTCCTTCTCTTCACTAGACTAGCCTTGCCCAGTTCCTGCAACCGTCCTTCCTATGTTTTAGCCTCCAGTCCCCTCATCATCTTTGTCGCTCTTCTCTGCACTTTTTCTAGAGTCTCAACGTCCTTTTTTATAATGTGGAGACCAAAACTGGATGCAGTAGGAAGGACCCCTCCTTTTTGGGGGGGGGAATGAGAGTCTTCTAACTTTTTTGCCGAGATGAGAAGGGCGGAAGAATTTTTTAAGCCACTGGTGGCATCAACGAGCTGGCCCTTTTGTGAAGGCACCTCGGGCTACTTCCTTGCCTGCCGGTCCCCGTCTCCCCCAGCCCCCTTTGCAGGGTGAATGACTGTTGATGGTGACCTCAAAGCACCTTTAGATCTCCCCCCACCTTGCCTGGGTCGGAGGCAAGGGCTGTTTTCTTAGACATAAATTTGCCCCCTCTGACACGTGGGCAGTGGCTCTCCTTGACCCCTCAGCTCATGAATCAACCCTGCAGGAGAACATCCCATCTTCATTTCTGTCACTAAGCCAGACATTGGTTAAGCAAGTTTTGCCCCGCTTTCACCATCTTTTTTTTTTGCTACCGTCGTTAAATAGATCCCTGCCGTCGTTAACTTAGTCACACGGTTGTTAAGTGAATCATCTGGCCTTTCCCCCCCCCTTGACTTGGCTCGTCGCGACCCCGGGACGCTGCAACCCGTCATAAATACGAGTCAGTTGCCAAGCGTCTGAACGTTGATCACGAGGCTTCTGCCACGGTCGTATGTGTGAAAAACCCGGTCATAAAGTCACTTTTGTTTAGTTCCGTCGTAAGTCTGAGCAGTCAGTAAATGAACATCTATGGAGATTCTCTGTCCTGCAGGACACGGTGGTCCCAAAGATGCTTTTTTTACGAGGCAACTAGACTTTCTTGTTTTTCTTTGAAGACGTTTCGCTTCTCCTCCCAGAAGCTTCTTCAGCTCTGACTGGACGGTGGGCAAATGGAAGGGTATGTATTCCTAGCAGACACAGGAATATAAATATACAGCAGTGGTTCTCAACCTTTTTAATGCCGCGACCCCCAACCGGTCGTAAGCCGAGGACTACTCAACCGGTCGTAAGTCGAGGACTACTCAACTGGTGCAGCACCGTTTGCAGAATGGGACTTTTGGCGGGCTCAGCAGGGCAGAGACAGCCTGGAGAATTCCTATTGGCTTTTGAAAGCCAATAGAATTAGACTCTATTCAAGAGAGTCTATTCTATTGGCTTTCAAAAGCCAATCGAATAAAAGGGAGTAGCACAGCTAAGGAAAAGGGGGAAAAAAATGGCGGACTGCGTTGTTTGGCGACCCCCGTGAAATGGTCGTTCGACCCCAAAGGGGGTCCCGACCCACAGGTTGAGAACTGCTGGGCTAAAAGAAGGCAAATGACCAGCTCTCTGCAAGGAGCATAAATCCTTCCCTTCCCCACCATCCAGTCTAGAGCTGAAGAAGCTCCTTGCAGCAGAAGGGAAACGTCTTTAAAGAAAAACAAGGAAGTCCAGTGGCCTGGTGAAAAAAAAAAGCACCTTTGGGGCAATCAGTAAATGAACTGTTGTAAATCAAGGACTGTCTGCCTGTGGTGTTTGAAGAGACATCCAGGTGTTCCCGCTGTCCCCTCAAATCATAGCTCCCCCCCATCATTGTCTGCCCTAATCAGCCAGATGTGAGCATTTCCTTGAACCCACCCCATTCTCCAGGGTCCCCCTGCCCAAAACCATTTGAAAAGTCTCCCCCCCCCAAACCCCAATAAAGGAAGGCCTCCTCTTTCCAGATGTGGATTCTGCTCTTCACAACAAGCCCCCCCCCAGTCTCCTGGGACACTCTGGCCGTGGGGGCCGAGCCTTCCCCTCCCCCTGGGCCGCACATCTGTCTCGCCTCTCCCACTTGTGGTGTTCTTGCTCGAAAACCTTGACCCGCCCTGGGCTTCATCTTTGTTGAAACTGCCCACCCTCCCTTTTAAATCAAGCCTTGTCTGTCCTCCTATCCCCTCATCCTGACTCTGCTGCCCCCCCCCCAGCTGCAAATGCAGAGCAAAATTTATAGCATCTGGGATGCTCATAGTTCCTCTTATCAGGAGCTTATCAGGAGCTGAAAAGGCCAGCTTGTTGCAGTTTGGCTCTCTGGGGAATGCAGGGGGGGGGGCTCGGCTCGGGTGGGTTTCTGAGGAGCAGAAATGGGGGGGGGAGAGGAAGCATACATCTCCCGAAGCAGCAGAAGAGTGGAGAGAGACCCTTTCTCTCTCTCTCTCTCTCTCTCCCCCCCCCCCCTGCTTTTCCTGAAGCCAATGATCTGATTATTCAGAACAGCAGAGGTCTTCTACTCCCGGCGCCAGGAGACCCTACTACAGGGGTTCTCAACCTTGGCAACTTTAAGACTTGTGGACTTCTTTCTGGGAGTTGAAGTCCACAAGTCTTAAAGTTGCCAAGGCTGAGAACCCCTGCCCTACTACATCCTTTCAGATTACGTGGCTGTCCAGTGATGGAGCACCCACAACCTCTGGAGGCAAGTCACTCTCCTGGTTCAGCCAATCCATCAGAATAGAGCTGGGATGGACCTAGGAGATCTCCTAGTCCAGCCCCTTGCTCAGGCAGGAGACCCTAGGCCAGTGGTTCTCAACCTTTTTAATGCCACGACCCCCAACCGGTCGTAAGTTGAGGACTACTCAACCGCTCATAAGTTGAGGACTACTCAACGGGTGCAGCACCGTTTTCAGACTGGGACTTTTGGTGGGCTCAGCAGGGCAGAGACAGCCTGGACAATTCCTATTGGCTTTGGAAAGCCAGTAGAATTAGACTCTATTCAAGAGAGTCTATCCTATTGGCTTTCAAAAGCCAATAGAATAAAAGGGAGTAGCACAGCTAAGGAAAAGGGGAAAAAAATGGCGGACTGCGTTGTTTGGCGACCCCCGTGAAATGGTCGTTCGACCTCAAAGGGGGTCCCGACCCACAGGTGGAGAACCGCTGCCCTAGGCCATTTGAGACAGGTGGCTGTCCAGTCTCTGCTGAAAAACCTCCAGTGATGGAGCACCCACAGCTTCTGGAGGCCACTTCCGTTCCATTGCTGGGGCGTCCTCTGTTGGTTCCTCAAGATAGATGCTTGGGGAATCGAGTCTCAGACCTTCTTCTCTCCTCTTCCTGAAGGTTCAGCGAAGAAGGGATGGAAGTTATGGAACGCCTGATCTACCTGTATCGCAAGTTCAGCCAGTTGAAAGTCAGCAACGAGGAGTACGCCTGCATGAAGGCCATCAATTTCCTCAACCAAGGTAAGTGGCCGGGAGGATGGGCTTCCATCCTGGCCCGAAGCTCTGATGGCCCTGTTCATCTGGTGGTCTCATGGGGCTTGGAGGAGAAGACCACAAACCACATGGCCCCATGGCCAGCTCTGATGGCCCTGTTCATCTGGTGGTCTCGTGGGGGTTGGAGGAGAAGACCACAAACCACATGGCCCCATGGCCAGCTCTGATGGCCCTGTTCATCTGGTGGTCTCATGGGGGTTGGACGAGAAGACCACAAACCACATGGCCCTATGGCCAGCTCTGATGGCCCTGTTCTTCTGGTGGTCTCATGGGGATTGGAGGAGAAGACCACAAACCACATGGCCCCATGGCCAGCTCTGATGGCCCTGTTCATCTGGTGGTCTCATGGGGGTTGGAGGAGAAGACCACAAACCACATGGCCCCATGGCCAGCTCTGATGGCCCTGTTCATCTGGTGGTCTCATGGGGGTTGGAGGAGAAGACCACAAACCACATGGCCCTATGGCCAGCTCTGATGGCCCTGTTCTTCTGGTGGTCTCATTGGGGTTGGAGGAGAAGACCACAAACCACATGGCCCTATGGCCAGCTCTGATGGCCCTGTTCATCTGGTGGTCTCATGGGGGTTGGAAGAGAAGACCACAAACCACATGGCCCTATGGCCAGCTCTGATGGCCCTGTTCATCTGGTGGTCTCATGGGGGTTGGAGGAGAAGACCACAAACCACATGGTCCCATGGCCAGCTCTGATGGCCCTGTTCTTCTGGTGGTCTCATGGTCCCAAGGCCAACCCGGCACCCTCCAGAGGTTGCCAATCACATCTCCCAACAGCCTCATCCCCTGGTGGCCCAGTGACAAAAAATAGAAAAATAAAAAATAAACCTGGGAGTTCTCTTGGGCAACTTCTAGAAGGTCTCCCAAGCTTCCATCTTGGGCTGACCCAAAAGGCCGAAGGAAATGGGATCAAGGAAACAGAGCCCGCGAGAAATGGAACCAGGGACCCACCCCAACGTCATCGCCACCTGGGCCAAGGAAGGTATACTACGTGCTGTGTGCGGCAGGCCAAAATACACCGTTGGGAGGACCTGTTGGGTGCAGCCCAACGCCCGACTTTGCGATTTGGAAAGAGGGTGCGGCACGTGTCGCTTCCCTGCTGGTGAGGCTGCTTGCTTGGAGATGGAAGCAGAAGCTCTGAGAGTCTGGATGTTGATTTACAGTCCACGTTTGGTCACCTTCAAGACAATTCTTCAGTTCTCCTTTCTCTCTTCGCACGCGGCACGATTGCCCTTTTGCCAAATGAGAGAGCCAATGGGTTGCATTATGTTTGAGATGCAGAGTTGAGGCTCCTCCTCCTCCTCTTCCTCCTCCTCCTCACGTGCTGTCTTCCATCCAGATATCCGGGGTCTGGCCAACGCCTCCCAGCTGGAGCAGTTGAACAAGCGATACTGGTACGTCTGCCAGGACTTCATGGAGTTCAAATACCCGCACCAGCCAAACCGGTTTCCGGACCTGATGATGTGTCTACCGGAGATCCGGTACATCGCAGGTGAGCAAGTCAGCTCAGGAGGTCCTCCTTGGGCTGACGGCTGGAAGCTGGGAGTCTCCCAAGCTGTGTTTCTCAACCTTGCCACCTCTACGATGGGTGGACTTCAACTCCCAGACGGCCGGAGAATGCTGGGAGTTGAAGTCCACCCATCTGAGTGTTGCCCAGGTTGACAAACATCACTCCCAGGGCTCAAAGCTCGTCCCAAGCACCCAGCTGATCTTCTAGGGTGAGGCCCCGGAGTAGCTCAAGAAAGTTGGGCTGGTTTTCATCCAGAGCTTCTGGAGACCAACAACCCACAAGTCCTAAACCAAGCAAGGGCACCATCGTTGCTCCTTCAACTTGCCCTCCAATTCTCCAGGCTATTCCCTTCTCCACATCAAGCCATCTTCCTAGTTATCCGAAGAGCTGTGGTGGCGCGGTGCAGCCTAATTCTGCCCACTGCCAGGAGTTCAATCCTCACTGGCTCAGGTTGACTCAGCCTTCCGTCTTTCTGAGGTCGGTAAAATGAGGACCCAGATTGTTGGGGGGCTAATATGCTGTGTAAACCGCTTAGAGAGGGCTGTGAAGCGGTGTATAAGTCTAAGTGCTGGTTCTATCTGTCTATTTGTCTTATCTCTCTGTCTATCTATATATCTATATCTGTCTTTCTATCTAAGCACTGAAGAGGTGTATAAGTCTAAGTGCTGGTTCTATCTAATCTATCTATATCTCTCTAAGCACTGTGAAGTGGTTTATAAGTCTAAGTACTGGTTCTATCTATCTATCTATAGCTATAGATATAGATATCTAAGCACTGTGAAGCGGTGTATAAGACTTAAGTGCTGGTTCTATCTATCTATCATATCTGTCTATGTCATATCTATCTATCTCTCTGTATTATATCTGTCTATCTTTATATCTCTACGTCTATCATATTTGTCTGTCTGTCTATCTATCTATCTCTAAGCACTGTGAAGCGGTGTATAAGTCTTAAGTGCTGGTTCTATCTATCATATCTGTCTATCTATGTCATATCTATCTATCTCTCTGTATTATATCTGTCTATCTTTATATCTCTACGTCTATCATATTTGTCTGTCTATCTATCTATCTATCTATCTATCTCTAAGCACTGAAGCGGTGTATAAGTCTTAAGTGCTGGTTCTATCTATCTATCATATCTGTCTATGTCATATCTATCTATCTCCCTATATTATATCTGTCTATATCTCTATGTCTATCATATTTGTCTGTCTGTCTATCTATCTGTCTGTCTGTCTGTCTGTCTGTCTGTCATGGTAGTGCAGTGATTAGAATGCAGTATTACAGGCTAACTCTGCCGACTGCCAGCAGTTCGATCTTGACCGGCTCAAGGTTGACCCGGCCTCCCATCCTTCCGAGGTCAGTAAAATGAGGGCCCAGATTTTTGGGGGGCCAATATGCTGACTCCGTAAACCGCTTAGAGAGGGCTATAGAGCACTGCGAAGCGGTTTATAAGTCTAAGGGCTCTCGGTATGGGCATCCAGGCGGGCCCAGGTCTGAGCGTCACAACTGACGGTGGGCTCCTTGCCTTGTCAGGAAAAATGGTGAACGTCCCTCTGGAGCAGCTCCCCCTCCTCTTTAAAGCCGTCCTGCACTCTTGCAAAGCCTCCATGAACAAGGAATGAAGCTGGCCCAGGAGCTCCGTGACACCCACCCACCCACCCCACCCTTCGGAAACCCCCCCCCTCCCAGCAAAGAACCTCGGAGCGGACACCACCCAGCGATCCCGCCAACGGGGACCACCTCAACAGCCTCCGGCAGGGCAGTGGGTAGCCTTGGCCGCCGAATCCTTAGGGACGGAGGGAGTGTTGTTGCGGCTGTGTGGCGTTGTGTGTGTGTGTGTGGGGAGGGGTTGTGTGGGGGTTTTTTTGTTTCTTTTTTTTTTTGTTGTTTTGGTTTTGTTTTGACTCATTTTTTTTTTCTCCTCTTAATATTTATTTCACGACAGAGTTGAATGTATGATCTTCAACCCCTGCAACGGCTTTCTTTCCATCCCTTCCCCCCCCATCCCACCCCCCCCCAGCCTCACCACTTTTGGGGGGTGCAGTTTACAGAATGTGAAGATGTTAGTTACAGTGTTTTTTTTTTTTTCGGGGGGGGTATTAGATCTTTTTTATACTGGGGAGGGAACGGGGTGGGGGGGCTTGGGTTGATGATGACTAAGACTACCTCATGGAGAAGGTGCTGCCTGCCAGTTCTGTACCCCTCAAGGGGCACATCCCAGTGGGCCGTGGCCTGTCCCCCCACCCACCACCACCACCTCACCCCCCCCTAGAGAAGTGCCAAGCCAACAGGGCAGGGATGGGGGCCATTATCTCCCTTCCCTCCATCCAAAGCCTGCAGAGATGCACCCAGAGACCTCCTGTTGTCATTTTGACCCACAGGCACTCCCCATTCGTTGCTCGCATCCCCCAGATTCTTCTTCTCACGGACACAACCATTTGGGACACTGCTACACACACACACAGAGGAAAAGCTGGACCAGCACCAAGGGGGTTGATCCTAACATTCCGGGGTTTACCCAAAGGTCCTTTTTTTGTGTTTTCCAAGAGGCCAATGGATTTCCTTGTTTTCCTCTGAAGACGTTTCGCCTCTCGTCCCCGAAGCTCCTTCCGCTCGGACTGGATGGTGGGGAATGGAAGGATTTATACTCCTTGCAGACCGCTGTTCATTTGCCTTCTTTTAGAGAGTCGTTGAAGCCACTCGGAGCTTATAAGTTTGGAGACTCTTGTTCTATTTGAATTCTGGGAGTTGAAGTCCACAAGTCACCAAAGGGCCATGTTTGAAGACCCCTGTTTTAGAGACTCTAAATCTTTCCATTCCCCGCTATCCAGCCAGAGCTGAGGAAGCTTCTGGGAGGAGAAGCGAAACGTCTTCAAAGGAAAAACAAGACAGTCCAGCGGCAGTCCATAGACATTTAGCATTCCTGGGGTTCAGCTGATGGTGCTTCCTTAATTTTTTTGGGGGGGGGAAGAAAAAGGGTCCCTTGAATTTTCCCTACTATTTCAGATCCAGGCCCCACCGTCCACTGTCTTGCTCCAGTTTTCACACAACAGTATGGCGCTGTAAACGTGCCTTAGTCCATGCCCTTTTTTCTCCCCATATATTTGACTCAATCAAGTGGAAATCCCCCCCCCACAAGGCTTGGCCCATCTCTAGGTGAGCAGCTGGGTTGAGACCGATCCAGGAATGGTGGGTGAAGGGCTCTCCTTGCCCGCCAGTGGGCAGGAGAAACAATTTGGAGGCTAAACCAAGGCCATTTGGTTTTTCACCCCCAAATCCTTGGCCTCTTGAATCTCGGGGAGGGGGAGAAACCTGCCCCCCTGGGATGGTGCTTCTGGCTGGGCCTGGCTCACCTTCCCCACTTGACGGTTGCTGACAGATGCCAGCAAGGCAGAACGGGTAAAAAGTCCGTGGCTGGGATTGGTGGGGGTCTTTCCGTGGCTCTCCCCAAGTGGGGCAGCGGTCCCCGGGACGGACTGCCGGCAGCCCCAGCTGCATTGTTATTTTTTTTTTTTTTCCCCTCAGGAAAATCCCCTCTTTTCCTTCAAAACAAGAGAATACCTCACCGGGCAGCGGACGCGATCTGAACGCGTCTCCTGCTGCTCGGACACTTTCTCAAGTGGCCAAAAAAAAGCTTGATTTTTTTCTTTACCCTCCTCCCCCCTTTTTTTGGCAGTTTGGGTTACGGTTTCTGGATATTTTTTTTTCCTTTCGCAAAGAGCTGTCCACACCACGAGACCCGCGCGTTACCTTTTGGCTCGAATCCGTCCCCGCGGCCGGAAAAAACCCGAGCGTCGGAACCTCGGATTCGAGAATTCGGGGATGTGAACCCCGCCCGTGGCCGGAAACGGCGTTCCAGTGAAGGAGGGATGCGCCCGTTCCCGAATCCTTGGGTCCACGGTGCCAACTGACCCTCGGGCGGCCTCGGTTTTAATCCCCTCCTCTCCTGCCCCACCGGCAGGAAATAGGGGTCAAGGAGGCCGACACCAGGAGCCAGAAAGCTAACGGTAAACGCCGCCTTCATCCCGGCCCGGTGGAAATGCCAGGAGGAGAGCTGTCAAAACAGGGTAAACTGAATGTAAGGTGTTACGGACTCAGGTATTAGGTGAAGAAAAATAGGAACGTAGTTTAGGTGTGTAGAGCGACTTTAGGTCGGCTTCCCCCCCCTCCCCGTAGATGGATTTGGTTTGAAGGACGCTGCGACTACCCTTCCTTTTCTCGCAAAAGGGGCCGGGTGTGTATCTGCTGTGGGGCAGGGGACAACTGACGCCCATGGGGCTTTATTTTTACTTTTTTTTGGGGGGGGCAGCAGGAGAGGATTCTGGGAGTCGAAATCCGCCCGTCTGCAAGTGGCTGAGATTGGGCCTGATGGCTTCAGGGCACAACTCAGCCCAAAACGTGACACCAAAGACTTCCCTCTCTTTCGCGAGCGGAGATCTCCCCCTGCCTCTCTTTTTTATTCTCTCCCCCCCCCATTTTTATCCGCCCCCCCATCAGCCTATGGTGGCCAAGAAAAAAAACCCTGGAATTTCTTATTTTTAAATTCCCAGGGATAGGGGCTCAACATTCCGCCCCCAAGTCCTTCAAATCCAACTTTCTCTCTCTCGCCGTCGTTCGATCCTCGCTGTCTTTCTAAACTTGAACTTTAAAAAAAAACCTCCTTATTTTATTTCTGAAAGCAGAAAAGCAGCCCTCTTCTCTCCCTGACACCCCACCCCCCCTTAAAAAAGTGTCCTGCCTCTCCCTCCCTTTCTTGATCTGCTCCCTTTTCCTCAAAACCCATCAGGGCTGGTGAGTCTGCGGAGACCGAGGAGGGTCCGCCCGGATCAGGCTCCAAGGCAGCAATCAAGACAGGAGACAGAGAGAGAGAGAGAGAAAAAAAGTGACTAGTAAATGGGCTTTTTTAAAGAAGATTTTTGTGCTTTTGTAGATGGCAATGCTCGTCGGAGGGTCCTCCGGCGTGCTGGTGGCCCTCGGCGGGATGGGTTCTGGGTTCTGCAGGTGGGTCGCCTGGGCTGTGCCCACCGAAACTCAGGGATGTGTATTTAAATAGAACCCAGAGCCCATCCTGCTTGTGCCACCCTCCCCCAGGTCTCTTTCTTGGACTCTTGGCCACCGTTTCAGAGAGCCTAAAACTGTATTTATCAACTTTAAGCGGCATGGACTTCCAAGTCCCAAAATTTTGGGACTTGGAAGTCCATGCCGCTTAAAGTTGCCAAGGTTGAGAAACAATGGTCTAGAAGTCTACTCCCTCCCCCCCCCATCCCAGCCTGGGCAAGAAGCAGCTGGCTGACCTCGAATCGTATTCTCCCCATGGACACCCATGAACCTCTACTGAGCCGCCTTTTGGGCTAGGACGTTTTATTATAATTTTTTTTTTAAATTTCCCTTTCCTGTGTATGAAAAAAAAAATGTCTTGTTCTAGTTGTTAACATTATTGACTCTATTTCCATAACAAAACTACCTCTCGTGTGACATCCTGCTGAGCATCTCCAAAGGGATTATATGGGGAAAGAAAGAAAAGAAAAAAGAAGGAAGGAAGAAAGGAAGGAAAAAGAAAGAAAGAAAGAAAGAAAGAAAGACATAGAAAAGAAGGAAAGAAGGAAGGAAAAGGAAAAAAGGAAAGTGTTTTAAAAATCCACCTTTTTTAAAATGCCAACCGAAGGAAATATTTGGCCAAGGGCTGTGTCCATCTCTCCCACTTTTCCATCAAGATTCAGGGTTTTTTTTTTTTATATACACACACATTTTATTGAAATCATCACCATATAAAATGCAAGTAAAATAGTAGGGAAATGGGGAAGAAGAAAAAAAGCATCAATTTCCACTTTGCTCTTTATTTAAATGAATCATCAGCCATCAACATAGGTATTTTATTATTGATTTTCACGCCCATTATTTTTTTCATTGGGTCTTAATCTCTCTATTCAGTTCTTCCAGAACTGAATTCAACAGGAGTGGGGACAAATTTTACACATCTTAGTTAAGTTTCCCTTCTTAATACGTGCTTGGTAGAACGTGCAAATCCATTTAACCACTTGGCTAATATTTCCCCCCCCCCCCCCAAAGTCCACATCTTCCAAAAGCTTGAACATAAAAGACCCCATTTAAATCATCAAACGCTTTCTCTGCATACAAAAATATTAAACTTTGCTTGTTTCTCATTACGGCACCGTAAGTATTCTATAACATTGGAGACCGTTCTCACATTATCTCCCCAATTGCCTTTTATCAGCAAAAGCTAGTGGTAAGACCTCGTGGATAAAAACAATAACTTCAGCCTTTCAGACGATATTGCATTAAAAAGTTTATAGTCATTGTTTTAATACTGAAATCGGTCCACAATTTCCTTCTCAAAACAAGGTCTTGATTTTCCTTTGGCTCCAGAGGCATTCGAGATCCATGTTGTATGGAATTCATTATATATCTTCCAATGGCTGTAGAAGTTCAAAGCATTTATAATAAAAGCCAAGCAGATTCATTAAAGAGAAAAATAAAATCACTGGGAGAATTTAAATCCTTCTGTTTCAGAGATAGATTTAAAAAAATGGATTCGGGGTTTCCCATTTTTGCTAGACAACGTTCCCCTCCTTGCCATGTTTCCAATTGCAGGGGCTTCTCCTAAATGATGCTGATTAATTGTTCTAACTGTCAGAAAATTTCTCCTTAGTTCTAGGCTACCCCCAAACTTTACCAAAACTGCTGGCTTGTAACAAACAGGGCGGACGTTTGGGGCTTACAAGCCTCGTAACCGCGGACAGGTTTTCCATTCTGGTTGGGGCTGATGGGAATTGCAATCCAAATCATTTCAGGGGCAAAAAAGTCCATTTCAGCCTTAAAAGATAGGTCTTCCCTCCCCCAGCACAAGGCAATTATAATTTAGCCATGCCCATTTCCCTTGAAAATACTCTTATTTATCCCAAAAACAGTCCCATCCCAGCCTCCAAGCACCAAACAGGACAATTGCC